GGTGTTTGTGCTCATCCTTGTTGCTGAGGACACCCCCCTGCCCTGCTCCTGAGGTTGCAGAAACTGCTTTTGCTTAAATAATGTGAGTCTTCCCTTCCTTCCTCACCCTGCCCAGAGCACAGCGGGGTTGGGTTGCGAATGCAGAACAGCAGAGTTGTGTTCTCCGCAGTGAAGCTGTGAGGGACGTTGATTTGTGAGCTGCAAACGGTTGCAAAATCTCAATTTCAGAAACAAAAGGCCTCAGCATTTTTAGCCTCAGAGGCTGCTCCTCAGGGTTTGCACGTGTTTCCCTCCCCATTTGCCCAAGGCAGAGTGGAAGGGAGCAGGGCTTCCCATCCTCCCTATGAAGGACTTCCACAGGCAGCATCCTTCTTGAGCTCTGGGCTGTGGATGGGGCTGCAGGGAGAGGGGTGTTCCCAGATTGATGACTTCCCCCAGGAAGGCTGCCACAGCTGGAATCTCGTGCTTCAGCTGCCTGTTGACTTGCCAGCTCCATCTAGTGCATAATTCACTTTGCTCTTGGGGATACACAAAGGGTTTGTCTGAATGCTAAACTGTGTAAACAAGAGTTTGATTCTTTCTGTGTGTTCCAGGATGGAAACATTAATGGAAGAGCTGCGGGACTTTGAAGCCAAGTAAAACGCTGGCATCTCACAATCTTCAGGATTAAGAACAGCTCTCCTTTAGTCAGCCTGACTGCACTGTCTCGTTGGACAGCCTGGAGTAGGTTTGGCCTGTGGAACCCTCTCATCCTTGCTGTCAGCAGTGATACAGAAACGTGTCTTCCAAACCAGCAACCTACGGACAGTCTCAGAGAAAGCATTAAAGCAGAAAGCACTAATGCCTTTATGGGGGAAAGGAAAATGAACAGTTTGCTTCTTAATGTAAAGCAGAGCCCTCTCTGGTTGTAAACATTTGGCAGGAATAAAACCGTAAAGCGGATGCCTAAGGGAAAAGAAATAAATGCAGGGCTGTTCCTTCCCCGGGCTGTTTCTGCAGAACGAGCTGCACACTTAAGCTACCCCAACCCTTGGCTGTACGTAAGGGAGACTGTGCGAAGGCACGTGCTGTTTTGCTGTCACCACCGTTTCTGTTGTCCAGCTCATTGAATTTTCCAGACCTGAGCTTTCTACTGTAAAATCCGTTCACGTGAAATAACAGTAGGGAATGAGGGGAAAAGGATGGGGTGCTGCTATGGAGAGCACTTTGGAGAGCAGCATGGCTTGAATCATTTGCTATTAGGGAGCAGGGCCTGTAACTCAAGGCCCTTATAGGGCCTTGGAATGCTTTGGTTGGAAGGGACCTTAAAGCTCATCCAGTTCCAACCCCTGCCATGGGCAGGGACACCTTCCACTAGACCAGGTTGCTCCAAGCCCCGTCCAACCTGGCCTTGAACACTGCCAGGGATGGGGCAGCCACAGCTTCTCTGGGCAAACCTGTGCCAGGGCCTCAGCACCCTCACAGGGAAGAATGTCCTCCTTGGAAAAGCTCGCTCCAAGCAGCACCTGGAGCATGGTGGTGCTGCTCCACCAGCTCTACCCTCTTTTTGCACCTGCAGCAGATGTTCAAGCACCTCTGGCCTTCCCCATCAGATACTTCACTCAGTACAGGCAGCTCGGAACACCAGTCCCACCCCATGGCTGCCCGCTTTGGCACAGGTTGGCGCCTGTACCTGTGCGACGTGGACACTGTGGCCATGAGACCCGTTTGCAAATTCAGGGTGTGTGTTCAAATGCTCTGTAAAAGCTGTCCCATTCCTGGCTTTCTCTTGTGGTGGGGTTGAAGGACCAGCCCAGCCGATGCCAGGTACTGCCCAATGCCCTGGTCTAGTGGAAGGGGTCCCTGCCCATGGCTGGGGTTTTGAACCAGATGAGCTTTAAGGTCCCTTCCAACCCGAACCATTCTGTGATTTTTGGTAGGTGACATGTATGTGCAAGTAGCAGAACGCTGCCAACGCTTTTATTTCTGCTGGACAAAGGGCCACCCCTGCTGTGCCACCCTGCATGGAGCTGGGGAAGGGGAGGGCAGGAGCCAGGTGGCTCTGTGGCCCATGAGGCCCGGCACCACTGGGGAAGCAGGGTGGGGGTCAGGCTCTTGTGCCTGTGTTGTGTCTGCAAACACAGTGATGGTGTCAAAACTGGGCATGGGACCAAAGCCGTGTTGTGCCAGCTGCCCCACGGGGAGGGGAGACCAGCACCATTCCCGCTTGGTTTTCTGTCACTTCAGATCTCTGTTCCAGCTAAAGATTTTCTGGGCAATGTAATATTGGCATGATCAAAGTCTGTCATGAAAGGCTAAAATCCAGAGGGATATGGGTAAGAGAAACCACAGAGTTGCTTGAATGTTACTCAGAATATTTTAATGTACATGCTGCCACATTAAAGAAGCGGAAAAAGCATCTTACAGAGATGAAAGATGTCAAAGGATGCAATTTCATCATGCCAAAAGCTATACATTTCAAAGTGACTGAAGCCAATAGCATCAAAATAGCTCTTTTTCTGGCATGTGAAAACCAGACAAGAAGTATGGAAAAGGGAAGAGCAAACACGTATTTAATGGATAGATTAAGCTGTTCTGATCCATCAGATGATGACGCATTCTTGTGTTTGTGGGGGGGTTTAGCAGGTATAAATTTGGTATAAATAATACTTTAAACAGTTCTACCTGTATATTCCTAGTAGGCTGGAACAGCTGTAGGATGTTGGGTAGGTTGTTGGATATTTACAGAGAACGATGACTGATGTCGAATACGACAGTGAGTATGAAACCCTACCAGACATGGCATTTGAGTAACACCAGACATGGCATTTGAGTAACACCAGACATGGCATTTGAGTAACACGACAGTGAACATCAGCCACAGGCGCGTGTGGTACCTGCCTCTTTCAAGGGGAGAGCTGCAAGTTCGGCAGCCAATGACTATCCGTGCCTACAGCAAGTACCAACCCAGCCTCACTTCAACCCTGCCTTCCTCACCCAACCTCAGTGTGGGGTGAGGAAGGCACTTAGACCCCTGCCAAAAGCACCTCTCTTACCTCCCCCATTTGTCTCAGGCCCTTGGAGAAAATAAGGACAAGATTCGGCTGAAGGACTCCCAAACTCCACTGGCCACATGTAGGTCACAGCTACTTTCCAAAGCCCTTGTTACAGCCAGTGGAAACCTTGATAACAGAGGTTAAGCCCAGCCTACAGTAGATCCCTAAGTTTAGTTGGCTTCTAGGCTAATGATAACAAGAGTGTAGACATGGGCTGCGTGTGGACATCTGCTACCTGGTGGTCCCTTTGGCAGAATGCTGGCAAAGCCCCATTCCTCAGTCACCGCCAGATGTGTCTCTCACCAGACTCAAAACTGCCAATAGGAGGGGGACAGCTGCTTGCCCAGAGATGAGTGCTTACTCTGAGCACCTGCACTCAGGTTAGCATTTCACTATCAATCATCTGCATAACCCACCCTCTTCCCTGTGGGTTTCTCACCAGACCACCCTATTCCCACATGCTGTTTGGGCTCTTAAGCCAGGGCTGAGGACAACTAAAAGGCAGAGCCCTGCCCATGGTAATCACAGAATGGTTTGGGTTGGAGGGACCTTAGAGCTCATCCAGCTCCAACCCCCTGCCATGGGCAGGGACAACCTTCCACTACTCCAGGTTGAGCACAAACCCAAATACCCTCCAAAGCCTAGGCCTGACACACTGCCAGGGGTGGGCCAGCCACAGCTTCTCTGGGCAACCTGTGCCAGGGCCTCAGCACCCTCACAGGGAAGAATTAAGTAACACCTCATGCTGCTGGAGGATCCAGCCCCCGTGCCATAGATGCTGAACAGCCTCTGCTACTCCGTATGTCCCTGAAGTCAGTGAGGTACCAGAGGATAAAAGTAACACAGAGAAAACTACACGGCAGAAAGACACTGTACAGGAAAATGAAAGAATCTTCCCGGTGAGAGAATATTAAAAGAAATCCCCTCAGTGGGAGGGAGAGAAGCCTGGAAAGAAACTGGGAGCAGGGGTGGAGGAGGCTGAGTGGTGTGACAGAGTGAGAAACCTCAGTACTGTTCCGCCCTCAGTGTCACAGCAGGCTGAGTGGAGCGGACCTGTGTGTTCAGCTCGGAGCCAGACCGCTGGCAGAGACAACTGCTCTGCGGCGAGCAGAAAAGCAACTGGCACAACTAGGCTCCTGCCAGCAAATGTGGCCTTCATTCTCCCTAATGGAAACATCGCAGTGCAGAGACAAGCTGGCAGTACGCAGCAAAGGGAGCTGGAATAGGCATTCTTAAATGAAACAGAGGAAGAAAACATAGGCCTAAGGGCAGGAACGGCTTTGGAACACAGGGCTTGTTCTCCCTGCCTCGCAGAAACCCTGCTGGGGGAGAAAGTTGGCTGGAGGCAGGGACAGCCTGTCCTGACACCCCATGCGGGTTCTCAGCAGCCTCCCTCTGGGACTGACCACTTGCTGAGAGGAAATTCACTCAAGACCCTCCAGGTAGGAGCTGCACACAAGTGGGCCCTCTGTTCTCTGCCCAGGTTTAGTGGAGCCATATTGTTACAGATGCCTCCCACCAGCGAGCTTCTGGGGACCCCCTTCCATGTGAGGGTTTTACCAGTGGGGATGGGGCTGTGCTGAAGAACAGGGTGGAGAAAAGGGTGAAATCTTCCACTCTCTCCCCAAGCAAAGCAGTTGCAGAGCAGCAAAGACTGTCACAGGCCATGCCTGACAGGACATGAATGAACACTGCTACTCTGCCAGCACGGTCCTTTGTGCAGAGTCCAGCTCATTAGAAGGAAGCAGACTAAAGCATCTGGGTGCACGAGTATTTCATACACGTGCACAGGCCAGGTACATGCTGCTGCTTAGCTGTAGTCCAACCACTTGTGCAAATGCTTCACTGGGAAAGAACAAAGATTTGAGAAGCCCAGATGAGCACCCATGCATTTGATCAGCTATTAAGGTAGCAAGGTAGAGCATGTACTCTATAAAAGAATTTTTGAAGCCCTTAACAGAACCCCAATCCCTTCTGCTTTAAGTACAACACCTGCTTAACACAACAGAGGTGGGAAGAGACAATGCGTCAAGATCTACACACACCACACACAATAAACATTCTGAGCATGACTTGTAAGAAACCCACTCCCAGTACAAAAAAGTGCCCCAATGCCAAACCAAATCTCCCTCTAAGAAGATGACAGTGTTCTATTTACAAGAAAATACTCCTTTAGTTAAGAATGCTAAAACCCATTCTCTTGAGTTCATATAAAAATAATCAGGTCTATATGCACACACATATTTACATACATTTATGGCTTTCGCAGGCTTCAACCTTCTCCAATAAAATAAATGAGGAAGTATAAAGACTCCATTACTGCTTTTTTTCCTCCTCAGGTTTTTCACCCTCTGCTTCTCCAACTGATAAGGTGCCACTACCATATTTTTTCACCCGGGTTTCTACTCTGGCCAGTCTCTGCTTCACCTTTTGTTGAGATGAGGTGTATTCTGCTAAGAGCCTCGCAAACCTGGTCTGCAGTGTATCCAGAGCTGTTTCAAGTTTTTCTACTTTTTCTTCCAAGTCTTTTGGGTCAGCTCCTGCTTTTGCTGCTTCTTCATCTATTAAATTGTCTTTCATCAGAATTTGTCGCCCTTTCTCTTCCAGAGCCTTTTTGGCTTCTGGATATTCTGTGAGGGCTTCCATTAAATCATCTTTAGACAAGCAGAACAAATCAGAATAACCAATACTCCTTATGTTGGCTGTCCTCCTGTTGCCAGATTTGCTACCTTTGATGTTTAGGATGCTGATTTCACCAAAGTAGCTGCCATCGCTTAGGACTACAAACTGGGTTATGCCATCATCTGCCACCACAGCCAATTTTCCCTCTTTAATAATGTACATTTCTCTCCCAATATCTCCCTTTTTGCAAATGTAGTCCCCAGGACTGAAGACCGTAGGTTTCAGTTTCAGCACCAGCTCAATGAGAAGTCCAGCTTCACAATCCTGGAATATACGCACTTTCTTCAGTGTATCCAAATGGACATTGATGGCGATTTCAGCCTTCAACTTGTCAGGCAGATTTTTGAGAACTTCCTTCTCATCCACTGTTTTCTTGTTGGTCCAGAGGTAATCGAACCACTTAATAACCCTGGCTTCCAAATCCTTAGTCACTTTTCGGAAATGCATGTACTGCTTAATGGAATCCACTTTGGACTGAAACTCTGCCCTGGACGCATTCATGTTGGAAATCATGGACCCCACGTTACCGACAATGGTAGCGAAGATCAGGACACCCACCAGGAAGTCAATGACCACAAAGAGATACTCTTCATCTTTCACCGGGGGAGGTGTTTCTCCGATGGTTGTCAGCGTGAGCGTTGACCAGTACAGGCTGTAAATGTACTTTCTAGACAGGCGCCCGTACTCCGGGATGGACACGTTGGGGTAGACCCAAGAGTCTGTTCCAAATCCGATGAGCTTTGAAATTGCAAAGTATATACACGCATTCCAGTGGATGATGATAAGAATGTACAAGACAAGGTTCCCAATACGGAACATGTTGGGATAATTTGTCCTGGTTTCGGTACGGTCAAAAAACTCAAACAGCCGAGAAATCCTCAGCAAGCGGTTAAATCGCAGCTCAGGGTAGTTCAACCCAAACTTCAGATATGCCAGGTCTGTTGGCACAAGGGACAGCACATCCAGTTTGAACTGCAAAGTTTTGGTATAGTGATCTCGCAATTTCTTTTCATCCTGAACTAGCAAGCCTTGTTCAAGGAAGCCTTCAAAGAATAAAAGTACATATTTTACTCGTTAGAATAAAAGTGCCATCAACAGTACTGACTGACTTACATTGCAGACACCTGAGAAGATTAAAATTTGTACTGATCTGCATACAGACACTGATACACTATGAATTCATTTAATGAAAAATATTTCATTGCAAATGCAGATATTTCAATGAAGTTTCGAAGCTGACATATAATGATGAGCAGCAATGTCTCCATGATTACCACCATGCTCTCTGTAGGTTTACACTCTGTTCTGGGACAAGCTGTTACCTTTTTCTTTTAGGTATGTTTGCAGAAAGAAAGGAGAGATTCAAATGTGTCATGTTTTTGTGAATCATTGGCATGACTCATAACTAAAATTAAGCAAGTGCTAAGCAATTGTGTGTAACACCAGAGTGGAATATTTTTAAATACATACCAAGAAGAAGTAGGCATAATGGATTGTTGGAAACTTTTTTCCAAACAATATAGATACCATTGAGATAAAAAAACCCAGTTTCCACCTCCCTGAGCTATGCTTTCCCTCTTGTGTCCAATGTTATAAGCAGAATTTTGTACACTGGTATTTCTTCATTCAAAAGACTTTGGAAAGTTTTAGATTTCAGGAAATTATAGTAGTAGAAGAAAAACTACGGTAAGAGACCTTAAAGCAAACTGCATCTGTGTACAGCTGCAGCGCTGGTTTGTACCTCTGACAGCTCAAGGCACTGGAAATGTTCCACAGGGAAGAGCCTGTGCACTGCAAAATACTTGCTGCAATTGCAAGAAGTCCAGCTGTCTGCCCACTAGGCCAGACAGGAGGGAAAGTCCACTGAGTGAGAAGCAAAACATTCCCAATATATCAAGGATTATCACAGTTTGCTAATCCCTGAGCAATCAGGGAAGCATCTGCTAAGGAAGACCAAGCTGCATGTCTTCGTGCCCTACACACCACAGCTGTGTTTCTGGAATGTATGCCTATTTGTGCAGTTGCCTCCTCATATATGTGTGTATCTGTCTCTGGGTATCTGCAAACTGGAAGTTTTTGTGACTGGGTGGCTACAAATGGAAGTAGTTCTTGTGTCATGACTGCCTTACCGCCCAGAAAACTGCTGGAAAACTGCTCAAGTATGTCCTTAACATTAACAGAGTAATGCAACTAAACAGAAAAGTTGGCCAGGCAGATGAATTTCTGGCTCACAGTTAAATTTTAAATTTGAAAACCCCTTCCTCCTGAAGGGAGATAAAAGCCTTCAACTCTTCTTTGTCCCCTTATAGAACTGAAGTCCTATAGTAAAACCTTTTGAAAGCATCAAAATGTGGGTATGCTAAACTCAACCAGCTGCTGAGACATGAATCTTTTCTGCTTCACAGGGCACAGTCACCAAATAGGTGAAATGCAGCAAAACTGGTCCTGCAGCTAGACAGAACTGCACCATGGAGAAGCTGTGCAGACCACAGCAGTTGCAGGGTTACCTAGATCGCATTTCAAAGCCAGTCTCTGCCTTTAGACAGCAGGGAGTCACACT